CTAATAGAGCACTATGATGCTGTTGTGCAACTGAAGGAAGCCTGAGCTGAAACAGCTGCTCTTTCTATTGGAGGGTCAGAGGGATGCTGTGGCAGCTCCAGCCAGGAAAACTTGCCTCATTCATCCGTAACCAGCTAATCCCACACCCCATTTCTTCAGCAGCCACAGAAGCAGCTCATTTTTATCCCCTCTACCTGACTGGGAGCTATGATTTCATGTGAACAAAACACTGAGCAGTTCGAAAGTATTTGATGATTATTAAATAGTCATTGCTCTCTTCATCTTCATAGGCAGACACTGGAGCCAGGCTGAAGATGCAGGGTAGACCACATTTGAACACCCATCTGTCAGGGATTATCTGTATCAGCTGAAATTTTGTACCTAAACCCTAACAATTTTTGCAGAGTGGTTTGTGTTTCAACTTCTGGGCAAAGCTACAACTTCTATTCTGTCTGTAATTGTCTCACGTGAGGATATACAAATGATTTTTAATGCCAGGAACACAGCAATCATTTTATAAAGTGTAGCTGTATCCATATGTATTTCAAAATACTATAATCAATGATATAATTTGCAGATGACATTTCATAATTGAATTATACTCTCTCTTTTAACCATCACCTTCAAATTCTGAAGCTCAAATAAATAAATTGTTCTATCTCCTCAGTCACCTTTTATCTTTCTGGCTTTCTTATGTATACTTATAAATGTTATAGTCTTTAAGATAGTTGGTTTTGAATCCTTGTCTTTTATCAGTTATTTGGTTTCCAAAGGGGGGGAAATTTTTTGAACTTCACAAAATTGATTTTTAAATATACAGTGGGCAATTTTATCTTCTTTTGACAAAGAAATGAGATAATTTCAGTGTGATAATGCAGAGATATATATATATATATTTTTAGAGAGGATAATACAGAAAAAAAAAATTGACTTTTTTTTTAGATTCTACTATTTATAGCCTCTGACTTGTTACTTGCTCTTGTGATAATTGATTTTAATAAATTATTTACTAAGGCAGATAACAGATAATTTAATTGAAACTAGTTAAAATCCTTTCTAATAATTTTATCCAAATTATCTCATAGATTAAAAATACCCATTAATGAGATGCAAGCCAATTATAGACTAGCATAAATAACAACAGTACTGAATATGATGTACAGGCTGCGTGTAAGCTTTGGTATTAGGGAATGAGTTTAACTCTATGAACTTCACAGTCTTACTCCTTTGAGATTCTCTGCTGTTTGGTTTCAGTGTAGATGGGTCTAAACGCTCCAAGCTTTTAAATGATTTGAAAAGCTTGGAATTTCAAAGTAAAATTCACAAGGAATTTATGGAATTGCTAATATCCTGTTTACATGTGAAAAGAGGGATTTAAATGTATAAGCATATTCAGTTCCAGCCTGCACAAACCCCCATGTCTCTCTTCGGGTCTACATGAGTGTGAGTATTAAATGAATTGACACAAGCTCTTGAGAAACAAATCACAGCAGCAAAAAATATTATGGAGCATAGCGGCACTTTTTTAGCCACCCACAGACTGTAAAGGCTATTTTGGTCTCCATCATTTCCCCAGTCAGATTTCCAGATTACAAGCCATGGTGAAAAATGACACATTATTTTATACATGTGACAGCTACTGGTAAATCAAGTATTTGCTTCAAGTTTAGTTTAATCTAGATGTGGGGAAACAAGAGAGAATATATTCCTAAACTTTTCTGGACTCAGTTGTGTGGATTATTACTGCAAATGGAAATTAAAAATAATACCAAAACTGGGAATGTACTCTGCATTTGTATTTCAATATAGAGAGTACCAAGAGTTTGATGATGCTCATAGATGACCTTGTGACCTATTTATTATAAAACTTGTGATGCCTGTCCTTGATAGAGTTACATTCACTATTCTGATTGCTATCTTCTCCAAAAGTGGGTATTGAAAATAAATTAATTCTATTTTAATAGAGTTAATGAAAAGCCCATCACTACTGTGAATTTCACTTCCATTGGTTTGATATTCTGCTTAAAAAGATCTCCTACAGACTGAGAATGTCTTTTTATTGAGTATTTTGACAGGAATAAAATAAGACTCAGTACTTTCTAGGAACTAAAAGAGCATCTGGAGTCTATTTAAGGCATTTTGTCATTCAAAAAAAAAAAAAAAAAAAGTATTTGTAAATGAATATCCATGTAAATGAACAACCAAGCCTGGTTTCTGGTGCATATTTTCATGCACAAAATAGGAGTATATCTTGCCTTCATTTGCAGACTGGAGTGTATTTGATATGGCTGATGGCTTCAAATTGGTAATGAGCTATGTTCTGTCAAGGAAGGAATAGATTCCAGTGAATAACCATGATGTGTTCAGATGTAGTAAGACCTACTACATGAATAGACAACCACCTGTTGCAGTGATTTTGGACATAAAGGCTTTCCCTCCACTCCCCAAATAATCTGTAACTTTTTTTTTTTTAATGTTCATCCTAATTTTCCACAACTACATTGTATTATGTACTACATAATTATACATTATTATACATTATAACATTATATTATTATATTATATTACATTATTACATTATACTAAATGTATTTTTTTTTGATCCACTCCCTTTTTCAAGGCCCTAGTTCTCTCCTGTTCAAATCCCAAAGCCTCCACAGTGAGGGCCTTGTGTGATGGATATATGCACCGGTATTTGGATGCCAAATGTCAGAATCACTGCCCACAATTAAATTATACTTTAGCTAGGAAAACAAACAAACAGATTGGGTGCTGTAATATTTTTTCTAAGGGAAAAGAGGACAAATGGCCTCTTGTAAATAGATAGTCAATACAATTTTATAAAGGATGTCACTTGCTTTCTTGTGGAGTGACACACTTCCTTTCATCCCCCCCCCTTTTTTAAACAATGCCATTTTGTTCTTCATGCTTAGCCTCTATCGTTTCATCTTTTAACACTGTTCGTCTTCTGTCACTCCATCTGTGTTAGTGATTCGAGTGGTGTCAGACTGCTGATGCTGCAGAACCTACAACACAGCTGCCAACCTACTACCAGCTTACTATGTGATACTTCTTAATGAAAATTGCCCATACCACACAAAAACAATTCTGTCTCACCCACTCTGATTTTAAATGTTAATTCACCTTCTTGACTGCATGCTAGGCTTACCTGAAATATAATTTCTGCTCATGTAAAAATGCTATGTTGTATTCATGCTGCCTGAAGCAACAATGCAAACCAAAATTAACCTTATAATATTGTGTAAAACTGTCAGTCATGCATATTTCATACAATCATGTGGCATCAGCTTTATAGTGATAAAAAAATGCATACTTTTCGCCTGGTTTCCTAGTTTCTCTTCAGCATATTCTTTCTCCTAATGAAAGTTATAACTAGCACATGTGTATTGTGATAAACATAGGAAGAGTTTGAAAGATCTTGCAATGAAAATGTTAATACCTTTCTCTTGTGAAAATGTATCTTGCTTACACAGACTATCCTACTCTTCATTGTGACGCAAAAGAGAGAGGTGTCCATCAAAGATGACAGCTCTTCCTACAGCTAGAGGGAACATGGCATGTATCAATTTATCAGTACACAGGTTTTAAAGTGGTGCATGAAGGCGGATTCAATAGTGAACACATAAGAGGATGTCCCTGCTGGAAGCCTGCTGTGGGATTGGGTCTAGCCAGGGTAGTTAGCAGATGGTAACAGATTATTTGCATCCACATTGTTTAAACACTGTGCTCTCAAGAGTAGAGTGTTGTCTTTCTCCATAGAGTATGAGCAAGGAGGGTTACAGCTCCACTTCTGTGCTTGACTGGGAATAGTTTTCAATTCATTACATTTCATTTATTTCAATTGTCAGACATGTATTTAAATCATCCTAGTCCTAATATATGTATAATTGTAATCATTTATTTTTTCAGTCTTGTCAGGGGAACTGTCAGCTCACACCATTCAATCTTTCAGTGGAACCACAATAGAGCAGATAAGTTGGTTAGCTCATAGATATCAAGAAGTGTGTTAACATCAATCAGTATTAAGAAATAGGGAAAAATAAGGATCTGTATCTCTAGATGGGAACTGAAGTACAAATCTGTTCAATTAGGCATGAAACCTATCACTACATATTCTCATGCATTTATCAAAGTTTAACTATACTCTTCAGTGCAACTCTATTATCTTTGCATTTCGCTTGCACGAAGTTGCCTTTTAAAATCCTTTTTCCCCCTTAATGGCTCAGCGAGCGTTATTGGAGTTAATATTTATTAAAGGAATTCATAGGGAACAGAAACATTTTTGTTTGCAGCAGCTTGGCAGAAGACGACTGAAACGGTAAGATTCGTAGGGGAATTACCTCTCATTCCACGGAGCCTGAATAAGAAGGAAGAAAGAAGAAGGAGGCTAGTAGAGCAGCTGAGGGGGAGAAATACACGGGAGAAACTGTGAGGGAAGTTGAACAGAAAGGGGCCGGCGGCCGGTCGAGGGAGTGAGGGGGAGCGGCCTGGGGACTCCACCGTCGTCGAGTGCGGGATCTCGCAGCTCTGCGGATCCATCCCGGCCCCATCCGCAGCCCCAGCCCCACCACAGCGCCCGGCTCATCCCGGGGGAGGGCTTCTCGTCAGCGGATCCGGCGGCGGGGCGGCGCCACGGAGCACCCCGGCAGCGCCGGGCGGGGGTCCCGGGCGGGGCCGGCATCGCCGCGGCGGGCTGCGGCCGCGGTGGCGGCGCCGCGCCGCCTCGCCTCGCCTCGCTTCACACGGCCTCGCCTGTCCGCTCTTCGCCGCGGAGGGGCGGCGCTGCCTCCCCGCACGCCCCCGCTTCGTCTCCGGGAAGGGCGCGGGGAGCCCCTGTCGCCCCCCGGCTGGCCGCGATGCCGCGTTAGCGGAGCCCCCCCCTCTCCCCGAGGAAGCTGCCGGGGCTGTGGCTGGGCACCATGGGCACCGCGCTCCGGGGCGCGGCGGCCGGGCTCCCTGCGCGCTCCGGCTGAACCGGGAAGGGGATGCGCCGGCGCCCGGTGGAAATATTTTGGAAACGGCGCGGAGCGGTGCGAGGAGGACGAGCGGCACGGCGTTTCACCGGCTGAGAGGAGGAGGTCGCCCGGCGGTAGCGTCTAGGCAAGTAAGTGCCTGCTTCCTCGCCGCCTTACCCCCGCCTCGAGTGACTTCTTTCTGCTGCCTGCCTCCCCCTGCTTTTGCGGGCGGTGCGGCTGTGGGGTGCCGGGGCTGGGGCTGGGGCTGGGGCTGGGGGTGCATCCCAGGAGCGCCCCGCCGCCCGCCCGGCAGCTGTGGGGAGCATCGAGATGTAAAGCACCGTGCCTTGCTGTTCCCTTGTGCACGGCTGCAGCCGGATCGCCGGAGCCTCCCGAGTCGCTTCCCACCCGTGGCTCCTGCTAGAGAGGGCTCTTGGTGGCTCAGGCTATGCGTGAGCCTCTCGGATCCGCTCGGGTGAGCGGGGTGGTGAACCCGGAGCTCTGGTTTTGATGCCTTTAACTTTCTCATGTCCTGCCTGGGGATGTTCTCCGAGGTGCTTTTTGCTGCGAGGGTATGGTTTACCCAGTCGCGTTTGTTTGCTCGTTTTTAGCCCGTGGGGATTTATTGCTTGGCTTGACATTGCTGCAGAACAAAAAGTTGGCCGTAATGCATCTCAGTATACAGAGCACGGGTTGCAGGCAGAGGACTAATTCTGCTCTCGGAGCAACTCCACTTCAAAGGAGAAGGCCCACGGGTCTGTAATCTCCTGTTAAAACCTCATGGAGCTCAGAGCAGAGCTGTCACACACAGGAGGATGAATTCTCCTGCTCACCTTTCGGCACAGATAGCACATAAGCTAAGCAGCCTGCCTTCCCATATCTGCAAAACACCTGTCTCTGAAATGCAGGGGATATAGAGGTGAATTCTGGGCTGGTTTGGGAGAAGATAGAACTTCAGACCGTGTTTAATTAAGTTTGCTTGTATTGATTTCCTTGGCATCTTCTCACTGAGCCTGAAAACTACAATCTTTTACAGCGACCTTGATGTACGTTCTGTTCGAACACGAGAGCATCACAGAATAAAAGCAGTTACACAGATTTATAGCTCGGCTCTGACAGTTCACTAACAGCTCCGACAGCTCCAGGGAACACGGTAGTTTCAGCAGGGGCACCGGGCATGGTGTGTGTGTAGGCTTGGGGAAATAACTCACTCACAGAGATGAGTGTAAGTTGCAGACTTGGAAGCATACGCTCCTGCAGAAATGTCGGTGTGTGTGAAACATTTGGTGAGTTTTGGATATTTCTTTTTCTAATCAGTGAGATCTCTAGCAAAGCTGTATGTGGGGGCAGTCTCAGAGCTTTCCAGGTCGAGGAACTTTCCTTTGCTGGCAGGAGAAGATCTTCTTATGGGCTGGAACACACATTTTTACTTAGATGCAAAACTAATAGGATTAAAAGATGTTGGCTTGGCAGTACAGTGAGCACATAACTAACTCAAGTTTATAGCAGAAAGATAAAGTAAGCCTTTCCTGTAATGGTGGATGGAGCTCCCTGTGGGTAGGCTGGCTGAAGGGGATGTCATTTGTTTCAGTGCAGTTTCAGGAGAGCTTTCCTGTGGTTGGTATTTCTGACTCCCTGAAGATACTGTGAAACACAATTAGACTAACTGTTGTAACACTCTGGGACACAAACTTGCCCATTACTTAAAGCACTCAGTTTCTGCGTCATACCAAAAAAGTGTAATTTTCAACAAAGTGTACCTATGGTTTTGTTGTAGTAATTCCTTCCTCTGTTGCAGAGTGGCAGGCTTTCACTAGGCATGTGCAAGGGAAATCATAAAACAGTGAAGCATGCACTGATCTGGAAGTCATTTGCACTAGATATCACATCGATGTTTTCCACAATTAACATAAGTAACTGCTTATACCTGATTACATAAATAAATGGGTTTTAAAAACTGTATCAGCTTTGCCACTTCTGATGCGTATTACAGAGCCCTGTTCTTCCTTTTATTTTTAGTTCTTCACATTAATCTAATGCTATACACTCTCTTTGCCTCAAGAGGAAGAAAACATACTTTAATGATGTATCATTTGGCTTTTGCAGTGTCTTGTCCCATAGCTATGAGATAATCTAATGAAGATCTCCATCACTGAATTAAAGAGCATACTGCTCTAGACTGTCACTTACAGCCAGGTTTTCATTCTGTTACATGGCCAAAGAACCAAGTTTTCACAGAGTCTGATAGAAGAAAAGAAGTCTTCCTTTTTCTGTTAGAAACTTGAAAGCAGAAGGTAAGACCTAGGGTCTTTAATTACTTTTAAGATACTAATCAAAGCCTTTATCTTCACATATTTTCTTTATCTCTGAATTGGAACATATCAGAAACCTTTCTGCATATTTATACTTTAAAATGTGTGTTTTTCTTAATTTTTAAGAACTCAGGAGCGACCATCCATACTGTTTACTGTAAAGCTATTCTAGCATTCCCATTAACGTATCACAGTTTGCTGGTACCTTTTGAATCAGAGATTTCCAGAGTAAAGCTCAGACATTACATCTCTTTCCTGATTTTTTTCCATATTTGCTCAGATGTGCTGTTTGATTTGTCAGACATAAGTTTCATGAACTGACAGAAAGCCCTGTAAGCAAAATTAAACACATCAACAGTTAAGTAAGGTTTTTCCAACCAAGTTGAGCATATCATTTCTATTAGTCTTAAAGCATATATATATATGTATATAATATATTTTATAAAGAGCTGTTTTCTGTTCTCAATTCTTCACTCTGAAGTGCTCAGACAAGTACCATTTCTTTTTCCTTGTAATTTAGCACTGGCCCTTGTGCCTGAGCCACTAGGAAAACTGAAACCATCAGTATTCCTTACCAGTTGTCATTGCCAGGTTTGCTTGCATGCATTGTTAAAAAGGTAAGGATTTGTAGCAAATTATATATGTCAAATGGATTTAACATGTGGTCTTGGCCTTTCTCATGACTATGCTCTCAGTTAAGGTTTCCAGAAAAAGAACTGAATGTGGGTGGGCTGAATCCCAATTTAAGTCTGCTGCATCAACGTGCACCTCTGGCAGTGTGCTGTGACATTGGCTCAGCATGATTACAACACAGACAACCTTCGGTATTTACCCTGAGTTTTACCTGCCATAGCTGGAAGACTGAGAAAGCCTTACTGTCATTGTGGCCAACCTAGATTTTCTGCATTCTTGTTGCAGATCAGAGAGCAGAGAGAAAGAGGAAGCACACATTAAAAAAATAAAAGAAATAAATAAAAAAAATAGATTATACTTCAAATATACTGCTCTAATTAACACCAGATAATGCAGTGGAGGCCCTGTCAGTGACATTCACATGCATATTTAATTGCTAAAGGGAGGCATCTGTCCATCTTCAGAGATTGATTTAGTGGGTGACGTGTCTACACCTTATGAAGAAGAGGAACTCTATAAGTGGAAACAAAGCAAGCTTTCTTCCACTGCATACTTGTGGATGTCATCACTTGGGACTCTGAGCTTTATCTTCAGAAAATAGTTGAAGTTGGCCAAAAGAGGTGGCATATGCCACTGTGTGATGAATCTGGAGGTGTATGAACCAAGGGCTGGGCTCTTCCTTGAGGACTTGGTCTCTTTAATTCATTAAAATAATGGGCAGAAGGAGACTAATTAAGAAAAATGTTTGGGATTAGATTAATTTTATGCCTTGCTCTCCAGTTTACGTTAGGTGTATTGGACAAAAAAGTAAGTGCTATTTCTTGTGATACTACAGTGAGAGTAACAGTAGATTTTAGTTACCTGTGTGCGGTTGTTCTAAACGATGAGGCTTTGCTTGAAAAGCCAAAACATGGGTAAACGATGCTGTTGTACAAAGTTTACTGTGCCGCTCCGGTGTTCAGAGTGACTTCAGTTATGAGGCACAGATGGTTTTTGGAAGGCTGTGCAGTACTTTTTTTCCCCATGAAAAGCAGGAGGTGCCCTGCTGCTAGGAACTGCACACATGTCCATTTTGCCCTGAGAATGGACACGAATATTCCAGGTGTGGAACAGGTCCCAAGACAGAGCTAAAGCCCAACACTTGTTGCTCGCAGGGTGCATTTCAATGGCCACTGAAATTTCAGTGTGAGATGTGACAGAGGTAAGGGCGCTGATGTTTTCCTCCTTTCATACTTGATTTGGAACTGAGTCTGTGAAAAAGCTCACAGTTTTAGCCACCTTGAGCACAACTGATTGTTGGTGCAATTGACTATTCTGCAGGTACTTGAAATCTAGATGAAATCTCATGGTTGCTGGAATTTTTATTTATTTGTTATTTTTTGCCATGGTATATTTGCTGCTTGCTGTTAGGTTTGGGTGTTTCTTGCCAGATTTGGTCAGATTTTCTTTCAAAGAGGTGCTCTTTAAGCTGATGGCATCAAACACTTCTGAAAGTGTTTGTTGCTTGGAACTTCTGAGATAATGGTACCAGAGGAATGGTTTATTCATCAGAATATGCTATATATATATATTTTTTTTTTAAAGTATTATTATTATTTTTATTTTTTTTCTTGTTTTTCAAGTACAATTTTTTTTTTTCAAATAGGGGACAGTATACTGGCTTTCTTGAAGATGTTAGAAATTACTCTTTAAGTCAATGCTACCTTGCTTCTGGTCAAATTAATTAAGTAGACTTATATTTAAGTCTGAACGAAGGCTGTTTGAATAAAGCAGAATATATGACTTTTTTTTTCATCTGTAATACTAAATTTATTAAAGAAGATGGCTATCTGTAAAGAAGTAAGAATGGGGGTATTGTTGATGACATTTTTTTTTTCTTCCCCTTTCTGTCAAAAACTAGAGGGAGTTTGAAATCATCCTGTACAGATCTCAGAATCTGACCAGTGAGAGTGATTATTCCGCAGTGTAATGATTATTTTGCTATTTTTATTGAATTTCATGTAAAATTCTCAGTGACTTCAACAGGTACCAGGTTCTCAGAAATCTTCTCAAAGTTTGATATTCTTCCATAATACAGTTGTTTTCATTTGCCTTACTATAAGAACACTGATTCTTAATTGCATAATTGTTTTTGAACTTCTTTTTATGAAATGCTTTGCTGTTTCTAAATATATCATCATTCAAAATTATGTGAGATAGCTTTT